AAGCGTGGCGAATTGGATCACGATAAGCCATTTACAGCTTTAGATCGATTTGGTAGTGATTACAGTAAGAGAAAAAAGATTTAATGTATATAATTAATTTAAAAGATTTAAACGAACTTTCATTAGTTTTTTGGGATGAGAATTTCTTGTAAACGAGCGAATTTACAACTTAACGCTCTTCAATATTAATTGATCATATAATTGACTGATATCAACGTGACAGTGTTGGCATTTGAACCAAGTCCAAAAATAATCTACTGTTCAATTATTGGAATAACTATGTTCAAATTGTCCAAATGCCAATATTGCCAATGTGAATACAAAAGATCAATTCATTAGTGCTTGACGTAAATAATTAATAGCATTGTCCAAGCCCAATAAACAACCTTCGTCTTTTCCAATGCCCGTTTGGAAATAAGAATGTGCAAAATCGATGATTCGTAATTCCGTAATTTTTAAAGGATCATCCTCTTCATCTTCATCTTCCTCTTGATCTTCGTCCCCCTCCGGGTCATCAAAGATATATACATTTGATTTTTTCCCATCAAAATCTTGTTTTTCTAATTCAAGCGCATCCGTCAATGCTTTCTCATCACCTTCATACACGAATAGCAATGACGCACTATGTAACCGTAATTCTTGTTTCTCAAGAACTTTACGAAACTCTTGTAAGTCGTCGAGGAAGCGTTTTATTATTACCCTTTTATGGTTATGTGGTGGTGAATCCTGTAACGCATCAAAATATTTTGTAAATCCGGAGAGCATTGTGTCTTTTGTTAGGGCGTAGCCATACGTCCTGGGGATTATAGTGAAATCATTTTTTGATTTTTCGTAAAGCTGAGTTTTATGAGAACAGTTAATTTTTTGATATTTGGAATGTACATTGCGTGATTTTGCATTACCTTCATCGCCGCAATTCGTAAACCTACCGTACCTGACGTGCTCGATTCAGCTTTTTTGATCATTCTCTGGCGTTTTGCTTCGTCAGCTTCTGGTCCATACAATACAAAACCCAATTTAAGATCCATTATACACGGTTTTTTAAATTTCCATATGACATTCTCAATACATATGGCCTGTGTTTTTGGATTCAAAGCGAATTAAAGAACAAATTTAACAGACGATCAAATCAAACAGCTAAAAAAAAAAAAGGATATCTTCTACGTGCTTTATATCCATCGCATTCTGCTCCCTGATAACGGTATCGTTCCCTCCTCCTTCAACATAAGTTTTTGCCGAATCAATGACATTCGTAGCAATAGTGTCCAAATGCGATTGAACGCCCTTCAACTGCAAACTTCCAAGGTACCGCGGCATCCACTGCGCAAATTCCGGATGCAACACGCTATTCTCATAGAAATCGCGCTCTATCGTGTTGCACGGTTTCGCTATTACCGAGCCATCACCCATTGATAATATTTTTTCGTGGCCACCTATCTGGTGATCGAAGCGTTGAAAGGAGTTGGTGCCAGCGACTACGAAAGTGGACGCTGTTGTGCTTATCGTTTGGTCAGTTGATTGCATGTTATTTTGCGACTGTAAAATTTATGAAACTTAGTATAAAATAATGAATATAGAAAATATATGTACAAATAACCAAATATTGCAGAATTTGTGTTCATGCAACTTAAAAAAGTCTATGTGCAAATGTTCGGAACGTGCATTTTTTAATCAAATCGCAGGATCGATGTTACCTTTTTTTTAGGATCCACTAAAGCTGGGTAGTTTCACGTGACATATAATTCGATCCGGATCGTATCATGTGAAAAGTAATTATTGGCTGAATCTAACATGTATAGAACAAAATTCAATAATATTCTTCGGTATATGTATATTCCTCAATAAATATCATGAACGT